GGGTCCTGGCCCGGAGAGGGCCTGGAAAGGAGGATGGAATGGGTCCCTGGTTCCTCCGGGGTTTCCTTCCGCAAGCCCTTAGGGCTTCAACTCAGTTTCCGCAGGGTCGTCGCAGGCCGGGCGCCGCGGCCTCCCCGGCCGCGTTTCCGGAGTGGAAAGTTTTGTGACGCAGAAGATTCGGGGAGGAGATGGGGGGAGGGGGAAGGGAGGGAGTGCTGGGCCGCTGCGTGCGCGGTTGCGCTGGGCTCCAGAGATAGAGGTTCAACGCGGCGGGGAGACTACAGGAGGCTGGAGAACTGCCTCGGCCCCTTCCTTCTCATTTGCTCCAGATACTTAATAATTAGCGATTTAACCAAGGGCTGCGCGTTTTTTCTTTTTTCTTTTTTTTGGGGGTGGGGAGAGGGGTTAGTACCTCAGATTGTCTGTGTGTCCTTACGTTAATGGTGTTTGATCCAGGCATTCCAAAAATACCCCGAATGTAGCTCTGCAGAAAATAAACAGTTTTGTTGTCGACTTGTTGCTGGCTTTGCAGCCAGTGAAAGTTTAGAATAAATCAGAGACCCAGGTCTCATCCTTAACTAGCATTTTCTCATCTAAGGTTTTGGGGCCAGAGGAGAGGAGTTAGGGCTTTGGTGGCAGGAAGTCTGCATCCCTCTGCAATAGGGGCACCCAGGCTTCAGATAAGCTCTTCCGTGGGATGTTGGATCCTTTAAATAAACTTCTGCCTACCGTGGTGGTTAGAAGGGTCCATTTCATAAGACCCAGGTCTCATCCTTAACTAGCATTTTCTCATCTAAGGTTTTGGGGCCAGAGGAGAGGAGTTAGGGCTTTGGTGGCAGGAAGTCTGCATCCCTCTGCAATAGGGGCACCCAGGCTTCAGATAAGCTCTTCCGTGGGATGTTGGATCCTTTAAATAAACTTCTGCCTACCGTGGTGGTTAGAAGGGTCCATTTCATAAACCCCACAATAATTCTGGAACGAAATTTAGTGGCGCAAGTTAATTGATTGTAGGTCTTAACGTACTTAATGTTGTATATTTTGGGGGGTTTAACGATGTGTTCCTTAGGGAGCATTTTTTCCCATTAATGAGCCAATTAACATTATCCTCCATATTGCCAACACTTCGGGTTTTTTTGTACGAGGATGGATCCTTTAAAAATATTAAAAGCACAGACTAACCCCACTTTAAACATTTTCCCATGTGCATTGTGATGCTTTTGAGAATCTAGGCAGGAATGAGCCTTATTTATATTTGTAATCGATTTTACTCAAAAAGTCGTGCTTTTAGTACCATTACTGTTCAGACTTAATTCACAAACGAGAAACTGGCAACAGAGTAATATTAATGATGTACAGAAATATTTAAGGTTGCTTTTTAGTACACATTGCCACAATATAAAATTAAAAACGAAATTTGTACTATAACAAATGCAGAAATTAAGTTTGTGTCCCTATTGAGCTTAAACAACTACAGAGAAAGCGTGGCAGCGGTTTTTGTGATAGAAATTCTGGAGATGAGCCTGAAATCTTAGGGTACTCATCACTTTTTTGTTCCTTTACATATTTTAAGACACAGTATCTGATTTCAATGTTCAATGACTCCTTTGATGCTTGCAGTTTGGCAAGATTGCATTGAACAAAGGATTTATAAACATGTTATGGTATAGGATACCTATTTCGCAGATGCGTGTCAAGAGTATTGTACGACTTGGTTTTGTGGCTTTTATGACCAGATTTTTTTTTAAATTTATTTCATCATTAAAATGGGGGCATAAATAGGTGTACCTACAAAGTTGTGCTTACCCAGTGCTCAGTGGTGGGTGGGTGAGCATATTGCTAACTTTTTGTTCTCAGAGTACTGCCCTAATTTAAAAGACTTGTGCAGTATTTGGAGGTAAAGGAACCAAGAATGGTCCTTTGAAAATCTGCCCTACCCTTTTTGAAGCATACTTCTTAGGTTTAAAATAATTCCTAGTAGAAAGTTGGTAGTATTGGAAATGTGTCAAATACGACTGGTGCTAAAAGTATCCTTTATTTTACTTTTAAAATGAATTTTGAGGTTCAGCATAACCAAGTTTAGCCTGGTGAAGGGAAGGAAGCTTTTTTACTGAAAATGTCACAGGAAGATCACTTCGAATGGATTAATGTTGCGCCCTGCTTTTACTGAATAGCAGCAGCATCTTGGTGTGCTGCGTTGTGCAATATATGTAGTAGTAGCATTTTGCATTTGTTTTAAGAGTTTCACAGTCTTCAAAGTTGCTTTGTCACATTTTCATTAAGAGCTTCAGATCAGCTCTGGGTTGCAGGGCAAATGTTAGAATGCAGTGCCCCTAAATTCAATAGGGCCGAACTAGTTTTCTTTCTGTAATATTTCACTCCTTGGGTTCTACTAACTGTAAAACTCTTCTCCTAGTTTGCTGGCCTAGACCTGAACTCTTCCGA